GGATATGCAAATTGCTTTTCTAGGGTAAATGCCAAGCCAAAGGCCTTGCTCTAAAAACTACAGGAGGCCAGGAGAAAGATTAAATTTAAATCAGATTTAAATGTAACTAAAAGTAAAGTAAATTCATTAATGTAGTTAATATTTTTACTCCCTGTGTTTTAATAATGTTCAACTTTTGTTTCCCTCCCCCCCCCCAAAAAAAAACACAGCATCTACATTCAGTTTTAGATGTAGGTTAGCCTCTTGGGGGCAGCTGTGGATGTTATACACAGAGTATGCAAAATTGCCACCTTTAAGGCATGAAGACCAGCATGAAGCTTTGAATGGGTGATTCAGACTGAGAGAGGTTCACTCAAATCACCCCTTTCTAGCATGCCTTCAGAATCTTGCCAGATTCCTTCCCTCCAGGAAAAAAAAGACAAGAAAAATCAAAGTAAATAAATGGAATGAGGATTCTGTAATCTGTAGGAGTACAAAAGATATGCAACATTTGTTCTTGTTTTACTCCTTTTGTAGTATGTTTATTTAGTCTTCTCTTCATACTGAATGGTGGCAACGAAGGTGCAAATATTAGCATGAACAGTTGGCTGCAGGGTTAAATGTGGTGAGGAAAACCAGTGAAGGGTGATGAAGAAATCTTTGGGGAAATGCATCTGGGGAAACTGAACTTAAGGGGACCTCAGATTCGAGGGACTTGGGAAGAAATGAAGAAAATGAATCTCAGGGGTAGCAATTAATTGAAGCAGGGATACTTAGAAAGGATCTGAACTGAATTTCAGTGGGAATTCATAATAAAGCACTGTATTATCATTATTATTCAAATTCACAAATATATTTTTATTATAAGCATGTCTCAGGCCCAAATGGGACGGGAGGGAAAGACCCATGAGTGTTTGCTCCACTTGGATGAGCAGAAGGTAACGTGGGCAAATACAGCAATATTTATTGCCAGACAGAGCCAGAGAAAGGTCTTACGGCTTCCCTTCATCACAGAGTAACCATATATGTCCAAGAATAGTGGAAGGCACAAGGTAACTGATGATCTGCCAGAAGCTCTCCAATAATATACTGTAGATCAGAAAGGATTTCCTCAGTGTCTAACAATAGCAACAACCCAGTGGCTCTTTTCTCACTCCATTTTCCATTATGCTACTGAAATCAAAAAAACTTGGGCAATCAGAAGAGAATGACCGGGAGTACCATCTAATGCTGAAACAAATTATTTAATTCTAAGCCTATAGTAATGGCTCCATTAGTAGATTATGAGGTTCTAATAAGAAAAACCAAACTACAGCTGGTCCTCACTTAACAATGGTAATGACCGGCAACTCCGTCACAAAGTGACACGGTCACAAAGCTCAAGGTCATGTAACCATGCTGACTTACAACGGCAGTTGCAGCAGTCCCAGTTGATGTCGTTAGGCAAAGCCAGCACAGACGCAGCATCCTGCAGTCATATGATCACCATTTGTGGCCTCCTGCCAACTTCCCCATTGACTTTGCTTGTAAGAAGCTGGCGGGGAAGACCACAAATGGCAATCACATAGCTCGCATAATTGCCAGCCAGTTGCCAAGTGCCCGAATTGTGATCTCATGACCACGGGGACATTGTGACAGCCGCAACTTCAAGGACCGGTTGTAAGTCCCTCTCATTCAGCGCTGTTGTAACTTTGAATGGCAACTGAACAAGTGGTCATTCAATGAGGACTACCTGTAATTTCCAGTTGCCTTATTCTGGCAATGGTGCTCTAACTGGGGTTTGCAGGAAAGGAATTGATTAAATAATGGATGGCCTCTTAAACCTGAAAGTGTTCTGGCCCTCCGTCTATTCAGTCCTGTAATATACTTCTTCTGCAGTTTTGTTTCAAGTACAAACCAGGCCAATTGATCATTGCATAGACATATCCCTGTCCTCAGAGGAGGCACACATAGAACAGTGGCTTTTACCAATGAAACAGGTGGTCTTCTCTGCAGATGAAATGTTCCTATTTTGGTAGGCTCTAATGATAAATTGTGTTTGAATGTAAGAGCATCTCACCATTTTTTAAAAGAGACCTTATCTATCAGACATTTGATTAGAACCAGATTCAGTCACACTTAGAAGAGGCTTATGGAAATCAGTGAAGCTTACGTCAGCCCAGACTAATCTAGCTTCCACTGAATCTCCCCTAAGTATGGTTGAATCTGGATCCAGCCAATAAATTGAATTGAAAATGGACCCAGCCTAATGGATTGGGGTGGCCAAAGTTTTTTTTTTTCCTGAAATGAAAGAAAAGGGAATCTCTTCCCACTTTTCAGCACTCAGAAGCCAGCTGGATTAACAAATGAATCTTACTAAAATGCTCTGAATGAGATAGCATTCTTCACAGCATCCAAAGCCAGCATGTTAATTTAGAGTCACAGAGCTTGGCAGTTAACACACTCCCTTGACCACCCATCATTCCACATCTGCTATGAAGACAGTTGCTTCAATATCAATATCAGGTCTTACCCGGATATCCTTCAAGAGATCCAACAGCATTAATTGAAAGTATGGAACAAGATAGTGATAGCTTCACATCTCTTCCACTGATTCCAAGGGAAACAAGTTCAATTAACTTTGTCTGGACCAAACCCAAGGATCTATGACCATGGATCATGTAGGCAGAGATTTCTTTTTCTTTTACTCATCCCCAAATGCCTTACCTAGGATGATCTTAGAGTTGTCATTAGGGAAGTATGGAACTGCTTGGAGACTTGACCAGACCGCAATCAGTTCCTGAGGAAGCATCATCAGTTTATTGCTTGAGATATCTAGGTAAGTGATATTCTGGATATATTGAGCAGCATGGCCTGGTATGGAGGCAATTTGATTATTATGCAAGTCCAGCAACCTCAGCTGGGGCATGCTTGGAAGAGCTTCCCATGGAAAGGAGGTGAGGACATTTCCATCCAGTCTGAGCTCTTGCAGCTGGTTCAGGCCCCTGAAGTTAGTCACTCTGAGACTTGCCAAGGCATTGTAGGGCATCCAGAGGAATTCCAGGTTGTGAAGAGAATGGAAAGACTCCCCAGGGACTCTTCGGATTGCTGTTTTTTCTATCCGAAGTTTAAAAGTGTCTCCCGGGAAGTTGACAGGTGTAAGCGTCATCTCCGGGTCATTGCACAGAATAGCTCTGTTGGAACAAAGATTTGTTAAAATTATACCTGGAACACTTTTAATCTCCAGTTTTATGTGTGAATATGCTTTGGTCTCTTTTTTCAGGCTCCTATGGCTATAAAACCTGGATCTATCCTATAATTTTCCGTAAAAGAGTTCACATTCACTTAGAATGCTTCCGAGTAATCTTTGGCTGTGTGTCTGCTTTGTCAGCCTTGAAATGCCTCCCTTTTCAACTACTCTCTGGAGTTTTAGGATGGGCCTAATATTCTAATGAACCTGTGGTTTCTAGAACCAATTACGCCTACAAAGCAAGATTTGTCAAATAGGAACTTACAAGTCCCCTGGTGCTTCAACACCTTACCAGTCTTACAGCATTAAACCTGACACTGGCAGTATGATTTAAGGTCATAAGAAGAAGATATTCTTCTCAAGAAGGTTTAGGAGAGCAAAATCCTGACTACTGGAAAGGTGTCAAAAGTTTGAAGAACAATGCATATGCTTGCGGGGTTTTTTTTTCATATTGTGTTGTGGGCAACTTCACAATTTAGCTTACACGGTGAGATTTGGTCAATCACAAAATAGCTTGCATTGTAGTTATGGCTAGTCTACATGGCCCCAAAAGCAAAGTAGTAAGGCTAACAACAACAACATGTCTGAGAAGGATATCACTAAGGTAAGAAACTGAGATTCAAAATACAAAATCTGATTGGAATCATGGGTATTTAACTGCAGTTCCAATTTCACAGAAGACTCAAAGCCAAGTAATTCGTTAGGAAACCAGCTGTAAGGCAGAGATGGAGTCTCAGCCCTAAATGGTGATGGATGGACAGATGGATGGATGGATGGATGGATGGATGGATGGATGGATGGATGGATTAATTTTATAGGCCTTCTTACTTCATCTCCATTCTGGGTAGTATACAACATAAAACAATTTAAAATTCAGTAATAGAGGGATCATACAAAACAGAGGTCTGGAAAAATATCACTCACACACCTGAACATATATCTCATAAGAGACCACATCCCCTTCTAGCACAAGATCTGGGAGAAAAAAAAACAGATTTTAAGGGCTGATTCAAACATGGTCAAGGTGAGGACCATACAAATCTTGGGGGCCATCATTCTAGAGGAGAGGCATCACCACAGAGAAAGCCCACTTCCTAGATCCCATCAAGTGTTACTGTATAATTGATGGGACCCAAAGCACGCCAGCTGTACCTGATCATAAAGGATAGGCACAGATTTGTGCATAAAGCACAACAGGATATTCATTTTGGAAAAAGCAAAGTGTTATAGCTCGGAAGAAAAGACATAACACCTTGCATGTGCACATCCACGTAAGCCAAACATCTACCTGCACCACTCAATCACACCAAAACAAAATGAAAAATATGGACCAAACAAAGCACAAAGTTGCAGCTCAGTGGCTTTTTCATCCATTAAAAATGACCCAGAGGAATTGACATGGGATCAAAGGCTACTTTGGAAATTAATGTAGCTTTGGATGTTGGCTTTCAGAGGTGTGCATGGGGTGTCAAGAAGGTTTAAAAAGCCCTACCCTCTTGGTCTTCTGGAAGGCCTTAAGGAGCTGGTTCTTACCCCAGGCACTGAACCAGGATATGAGTTGAGCCCACCACATGTCCAGTTGGTGTGAGATCTTTCGGTGCCTGGTTAGAGCATGATGGTTTGTAATGGGGTATGTGTGTTTACATTTCTTAATATATTATATGGGTTTGTTTGTTGTTCTCCTCCCAGGGTCATATTGTGTAAGATCAGTGGTGGCCATGTAAAGCTTTTAAATAAATACCTTTTTAAAAAATGGTGGCCTGAGCTGATTGAAGCTCCACATTGATTGGAGCTTCAAACGAACAAGGGTGACTACCATCTTGACCCCCTCCCCACCAAGACCCCTACAGGCTTTTGAAGTCTCTGAGGAAATACTCTTACAGTGGTTTGTTCTATTACTGTCATGAAATATCTAAGAGACCTTGGAAATACAAAGCAGGTAAGGAGGAAACAAGGCCATTACAGAAGAGATTCTTGACTCCAGGGGAGGAAGTGTGAGAAAGGGACTTGGAGTGACTCCACCTGAGTTACACTAAGTATAGGATGATTTGGAAAACTGCTTGAACAGGCTTTCAAGATTCTGTTACATTACCCTAGACTAACCAATTTCTATGGTAGTACATAGCTAAAGCACATTTATATAACCCCCCGGCTTATCCACAAAGAAGGTAACGCCAGAGTCCAAAACATGTTACAGCTGTAGTTGCTTTTGAGTGGCCAAAGATTCTTATTGCATGTTAGATTTGAAGATCTCTCATTTCTTTCTTTTCTTTTTTTAAATTTGACTGGGAATGTTTGCTTGTGTTTGCACACATACTGTAGATGTGTGATAAAATCAGAAGTTTAGTAAAGCATTACCTCAACTCAGAGATAACTATGTCCAGCAAAGACTGCATCTGGTAGGTGGAAAGAGCAGTTCTGACCTCCTGCAGAAGTGTGACGAGAATTGTGAAGATTGTGTATATAGGCTGTCTTCAGCTGACTCCCCAAACCATTTCATCTGTGTTGACTATTAAATGCCTTTTTGAAAAAGATGTTGGCATAGAGTCCCCGAACATTCTCTTGCATAAAACATATAAACCTTAATCAAGGAAGGTTAGCAATCTTTCTGACTATAACTTCATATTGATCTGTAGGTATTACTGCTGCTTGCAGGTTCAGTAAGTTATATTTTGAAGTGCGCCTTCAGTCAAAACCCACACGTGCTCCCTCAAAGAAACATAAACTCATCTCACACTTTTAACGTGTTTGCCCCAGACAATTTTTCAGGGCTTGGAGTAAACGTTTATGTCATAGTTAGTTTCTAAAAAATATCCAGCTGAAAAACTAGTAGAATATACTGTACATGCACACTGTTTAAACCTTTAAAGAATAAGGTAATAATTATTCTTTTAATGTTTTAAATTATATTCATTTTTACAAAGTTCGATTTTGGTCAGTTTCCCCGTAATACTGTATCATGTTAATTATATTGCTTCTGCCTTGGCATAAAAGGCCATCAAATGGCATTTCTGAAATCAGATTATACTGTACTCCCCTGTTAATCCTACAGCACAGGAAGCCCTTGTATGAAGCAATTGGGAAAACAACATTTGCGACCCAAAGGCATGAAGTAACTCTCCTTTTCCACCAAGCAAGTGGGGTGGAACGACACTGCCCAGAAAGCCTTCTTTGCACCCACTGAGTCGTAAAGGCAAATTACAGCAATTTTACCTTCCTTTTGTCCTTTCACTGATGCTGTAGAAGGAGCAGCTGCATTGAGAAGGGCAGAAACAGAGCATCCAGGGCAGACTCCCGAAGGTCAGGCAGCAAAGGAAACCCACCGTGACCCACATCATGATCCGGGCATGAGCAAGGCATCCAGATCCTGGTCAGAGTGGCCGCAGGTCCTCTCTCATGGCGTCCATGGGATCACTCACATTGTCTTTCCTGTTCTGCAGTGATCTCCCAGCGCCCTGCTGAAGTCACCAGATAAAATTGGATAGGCAGGGGATTAAGAATGAGGTTATTTGCACAGAGATGCTTATAGCTTCCTGCAATTCTCAGCAGAAAGATTTCTTCCCTCCCCTCTATGGATCATTTCAAAACAATGTTTGGGTAGGAAGCCAGCTTTTACCCATGGAGATTTTTTTTAAAAAAACTGTGCATGTTTTGAGTGATGTTTTAGCTTTTCCTTCAGAGCAACTCAACCTTTCTTGGAGTGACCTTCCTCAGTGTCAAATGAGGTATGCAGTGAGGCATGTATTGGAAAACACTGTTCTTTCTAGTATTCTCAAAGAAAGAACGTGTTGGTGTAGGGCTATAAAGAATCTGTACCACAGACAAGTCCAAAAAGGTGTTCATAAAAATGGGGAACTGAGATCTAAGCTGTAATTCATAAGCTTAAAATATCTCTGGTTCAAACCATACATGTTGGAGAAATGGTAATGAAGAATAATCCTCTACTGTCAAAGTTTTCCAGTGTTTTGTTTTTAATTCCTATGTTCATGTAGTTGTTTTGGCAGAAATATGGAAGAGATTTGCCAGAATCTCCTTTCAAGATTTTCCAGGGGTCTCCTATGCAAGTTCCAACTAGGACCCATCCTGGTTAGTTTTTCAAGATGAATCAAGTTTGGTGCCACCTAGTTTTGGGGACAATAATAGCTATAGACTATCATAATTGATAAGGTTGAATCTAGAGCCTCTCAAGGAAGTGAGATGTCTTGGGATACAAAGCAACAAAGTAATCTCAATCATATTCCATATCCCTCTGAAAGACTACATTTTGGCATCTGTCGTCTGCAGAATCATCAACAAAGTTCTCCTACACTTGGGAAACCTGTGCCCCCCAGATATTGCTGAAACTATAGTTCTCATTGGCCAAGCCAGTCTGGTGGAGTTAGTAGTTCAGCAAAATCTAAAGAACCCCAGACCCCCTGTATCCTATAGGTATATAGGGCTCTCCAAGACTTATCTGTGGTTCCATCAGTGGTCATGTTCTCCATTGACAGAGGAGGACTCGTTCCTCATCTTAGACTACATTGAACAGGTATGTTTGGGTTCCTCTATCTGCCAGCATAGCAGCAGACCCATGTTAGTCAGCGGTGGCAGAAAAACAGGAGTCTGGTAACACCTTTTCTGATTAACACATTGTATTAAAAGGCATAAGCTTTCCGATGAAGTAATCTGCAGCTCATTTAGTCTTATTTACTGGTTTCTACTTCTTATTCTTCTTTTTGCATTTTATAATGAAACAGTTCTGTTATACAAGAGAAAGGGAAGGATACTAGGGCATCAGGGATTAAACTGTCCACCAAGGAACAGAATTAAAGAAAAAGGATTATGAATGATGTTCTGTGCCAAACACACAAGGAAGAATCTGATTAAATGGACAGAAATGTGCTGATTTGATATTATTTGTGAGCAAACATTAAAACAAATCATATTGATATTTAAACATTATGTAAACCCAACACTTTAATTTGGCTCTCATCTGCTGATAACAGCAATTCCTAGCTTAGTGTGTTGTACAAACCCAGTCTCCTTGGCTCGATGATGATGTAGGGTTTTGTGCAAAACCAGAGAAGGGGTAGATTCAATAATCAACTTCAGTGGATCACAGAAAAGAAAATATGCCTCCTTTTCAATAGAAAATAATGAGAGGATGAGTCCATTCATACATCATGAAGTGGTGAAGAAGAGGAAAAGATTGTCACTGCTGTTTCTTTTCTTCTTTTAGCCCAGTATAAAAAAGATCAACTAGAAGTGTTTCCCCAAATGATGTCCTTAATCATATATAACTTCTGGAGTTTGTGGATTACATTGCAGGAGGAGACATTGTAGACTTGGTAAGAGATACATGTTGGTAGCCAAACATCAGGAGGAGTCTGGTAGCAGCTTTTCAGATTAACAGATTGTATTAATAGGTATGAGCTTTTACTTCTGTGGGGTAGGGCTATGTGAACATCTTCCAAGGCACTAGATGCTCACCGACCTCCCTACCCCACAGTTCCCACAGAAAAGAAGAATAAAGACTGGTTGCTTTATCTGGAGATGTGTCACTCACCAAGGAAAGGAAAAACAGGAAAAGATAAGATGCAGTGCTAGAGAGCATTCAGGATGGGACACTAGAGGTGACAAAGTAGAGCAATTTCATCCATTCCCTCTTCATAATGTGATGTTTTATGACTGTTTATTTTCTCTATGGTGTGCACTTTGAGGATTTGCAAGCTCCAGCAGCCATTTTGGGAGAGCAGTTCCATGCTTTCAAAACCTAAATGTGCCCCCCAATTGTTGTCATATTAACAAGTGTCATTCATGTTATGGTCACGTTACTCAAAATTCACTTCAGTTTCCATCTGGCATCATATACCCAGTGCAAATTTTTGAATGATAGATAGATAGATAGATAGATAGATAGATAGATAGATAGATAGATAGATAGATAGATAGATAGATAGATAGATGATAGATAGATAATATAGATGATGATGATGATGATGATGATGATGATAATGATGATGATGATAGATAACAGATAGATATTTGTAATCAAAAAGTAATAAACACATAAACAATTGGTGCAGGGTAGATTTGAATTGATTTGCCATTGTCTTATCCAAAGAGGACTCCCCCATAAGAGAACACACCCAATTGTCTCCTGCCGTATTTATCAAAATGGGATCCCTGCCCACTGCATGAATTAAGGAGAAACTATATCTTTGTGATGGAATGGAATTATGAAGGCCAGGCTCAGGGAGATAAACATTTTCTTAGCTCCCCAGAAGAGCATGGGAGGAACAAGAAGATGAGACTGGCACCTCCCTGAGGAATTCACACTGTTGTGGCTGGAGAATTTTGGGATACGGGGTTTT